GCATACTACCCAAGGGAACTGAACTCTTGGGCTGCCTCTTGGGGGAAGCTCCGGGGTTCTGCGAATGGCAAATTCGCAACAATCCCCACCAACGATTGCGCCACCCCCAACGCTTTCGCCATCGCCACCACCATGGCATCTTCAGCGTTCGCCCGCACATACTTCTTGAATGCGGGCGGCAGGTCTTCGAGCAGGTTGCTCGCGGGCTCCCATGAGTTTTCGATATCTTGGAGGCCGCGCCAGCTCACCAGCACTTCGTAAGCCGCCAAACGATCGTATCGACAGCCGAGGAAATCTTCCACGACGTGTCCGTCGGCATTGCGCGCCACATGGCGCAGAAGCTCCTCGCTCACGTCGAGTGAATCGTCGGCATAGAAGTTTAGCCGACTGCTGTGGGCTTCACGAGCGACTCCCCTGATCAAATTTTGGATCTCGTAGGTCCAATCCGAGATAACTCGGACAACTTGGGCAGGACCACGCCACGTGACGCTGAGGTTGGAATGAGTCATGGACCAGACGTCCATGTAGAGAACAAAATCGCCCACATCAAATTGGGCCATCGTGACCCCCTTCTTCGTCGCACGGCGATCGCGATTTTGAGCGCGTTTCTTCGCCGATTTTGACGCGACTTGTTCGTGCATACTGTCCAAGGCCTTCGCCATCGCCTTGACTTCGTCACGTCGCACAGACCAAAGGTCTTACAAGGTCGTTGACTGGATGGGTCCGTCCACACAAATTAGATCGAGCGGTGACATCGCTCGTGTACCGGTCATCGCCGTAATCGGCGCGACACCACCGAGGGTGTCCGAGGGACTTTGGTTGAGGATCAACATCACGACTGGCACAATCAGTCGCCATTGATCCAATTGCATCAACCACTCCGAGTGCAGCGCTCGGAACGTCTTCAGGGTCGTTTTCGTGGCACTTTCGACTGTGCCATTTGCCCACGGACATCTCGTCGTGGTGAAATGGTGATGTGCTCCAAGAACATGTTGGAGCTCAGCGATCACCTCGTTCTTGAAATGCGACCCTTGGCCGCTGACCCAGTGGTAGCAAATGCCAAACACACTGAACCACTGTTGCAAGCACCGCGCCACAACTTGCTCGTTTGCAACGTCGGTTGCCCAGAGCCACTTGAACTGGCTGAAATCGTCCTTTCCCACTAGGATGTAGCCGCCGTCCATAAACAGAAAATCCCAGTGTAGGATTTCGTTTGGCTTCGTCGCGTGCGCCGTCGCACCAAAAAGGACGAAGAACGTGACCACCAGTGCTTGCACAATGCAAACAACGGCTCACAAAGAACGAAACATCCGACGCCATGTCGGACCACCAGAACCGTTCAGACAGGACTTGTTTCGTGGCATTGACGCCACGATGACCACCAACGCCAAAGTGTGCGACCACACATAGTCGCATCTGCAGATCACTCGCCGCAGACGGAATCCAGACGGCGCCGTCTTCAACACCGGCACATCCATACCGTCGACGTCCACACGGTCTTCGTTCCACTCGACCTTTGGAGCGTCGAATTGCCCGACTGCTTGAACTTGAGCATCCACAATTTCGGCCATGCTTGGCCAAACAAAATCGCCACCTCGCGAAGGCGAGATCTTAAAGGGTACGTACACGATAGGACAGATCAAGTTGGCGTGTGTGTCCCAGCGGGACAATAGATCGGCCCACACGTTGACATCGCCCGCGATGTCGTAGATCGTGTAGTTGTACCCCATCAGCAGCAACGCCCAGCGGTCCAACTTCACCGCCGTGTACTTCGGGATGGCGGCGTTGACCGAGCTTGGGTTGACGATAAACTTCAGGTTGGCGTGATCGGTGAACAGCGCGAATCCACCAGGCTTGTGGAGCAGGTAATCCGCCCGCTTCAAGCAGTCCACGATGGAGAACGCCTCTCTCCACGATTGCCCATCGCTGCGCCGCTCCCGAAAACGTTCCACCAAGGAACATGAACGGCTCATGGTCTTGAGCTTCTAGCTCACGATCGACGTGATCGTGAGGGATTGGGTCACCACACCTCCCCAATGGTGGTCACTTGCGTCGGCAAACAGGCAAACACACAGATCAGTCGATCTTGCTTGGGATGAGCTAACGTCACCACAAGACTGAGGGCTTGCTTGCAAGCCGTGAGACACGCTGCATGGGCTGCGCTCCAGCCACGTCGGCCAAAGCAACTTTGGCCACTTTCTGGAGGGTCCGTCCGCCAGCAGCCTTGTAGACCGACTCCATGAGGTCGGTCATCGGCTGCACGATAACGTTGTATCGTGGGATCGACATTCGCATCCAGTTCATGGCGCAAATGAATTGCTGCAGATCTTGGCCGGTCACCGGCATCTTCAGGTCTTGCAGCGCCTTGAGGCGGTCGGGATCGTGCTTGACTCCGTCGGAAGATATAGAATGCGCCCGCACCAGCGGGCTTCGGTCTCATAGAACCGACATTTCTTGGGGTTCAGCTTGAGGCCGCGCTGATGGCATATCTCTAGCACGCGTTCGAGCGCCGCTAGAAGCCCTTCTTTGGTCTTCTCGTATCCAAGGAGATCGTCCAACCAGATCAACAGCGACTTGTAGAGTTCAGTCGCGAACATTTCTTGGACCTACGATTGGCAATAAGCCACGTTGTCGGTCCCGCCCATCAACACACGCGTGGGCGTGTAGATGCCCGTGTCCGTGAGGAAGGAAAATATCTCCTGGGACGCCTTGTCCAGCGCAAATTGCCAGTACCCCTTGAAGAAATCAAGGGAGAAAAACACCTCGGCACCGGCCAGGTGATCCACGATCACCTTGAGCATTGGCATGGGCCAGATGATGCGCTCCGTCTGAGCGTTGACTGGCCTGACGTCCACCGTCATGCGAAAATTGTTCGCGTCGGGTTTCTTGACGATGAGGGGTACCGAGCACCATTTCGAGCGGGGATTTCGATAGCATAATCCCGCAGACACCTGATCGGCGCCGTGAGTCGCCATGAAGTCGCGTTGTTCCTTGGAATAACGACGCGCCTTGCGTCGCACGGGTTCAGCGCCGTGTTTCAACGTCGCTGTGAGTGGCGCTACGTCGACAGGAGGATCTCGACCCAGTGTAAGCCGAAACACGTCTTCGTAAAGGGCCAACAACTTCGACAGCTGTGTCGCAAGGCCTTCGCCGCATCCTACGCGTTCGCAGTCGCGCACCTTCTCTTCGAGCTTCGCTCGCACCGCCATCCGGTCGACTTCCATCGACCCCCCAGACTTCAAGTCTGGGAAACACCCTCGCTCTTCTTCTGGAGACGTCGTAGGTTGCACAAACGTCTCAACCACCTTCATCGCCGCCATCAATGGCGTCTCTTGACCACGCAGCTGATCAAGATCGTAAACACTCTGCGCACGCCGCGCAGATGCAAGCAACGAATGGGGGCAATACCCCAGGCGCGCCATGACGTCGCGACTAACAATGAGTCACCCAGGCCGTCGTGCAATGGCGTCACCGCCACCCAGCACTTGAGATTGGTTAGCACGAGGGTGCCTTCTGCAGTGTCGAACGTCAAGCGTAGCTTGACCTCACGGTCCACCTTGAGCTTCATCCTCCATGAATCCACCCAATTCCATGACGCTGTCCAGATGCCGCACGACTAACGTGCAATGGTCG